TCCAACTTGTAATTCAAAGGAACTTTCAGCATGTTCCACGTACATTTGCTTGTCTTCATTACGTAGAAATTCTGTTTTAGGATCCTTGAAACGAACACTAAGTACATTATTCAAAGAAACATTTTTAAATCCATCAACTCGTCGTACATCATCATAGTTAGGAGTATTAGTTCCAACAGGAATCCCAGCAGTTGAAAACGTCACTACATCCAAACTAGTAAAGTCTGGCTGTGAGAAATTAACTTTTTCAAACGTAGAAGGCCATGGTAAACTTGTTGACAACCTTTCAGCATTATTTACAAGTCGTTGGAATTTTTTAGACACTGATCTATTTACAACAGCGACAAATAATTCAAACTTTGCACGAACGCCAAAGGGATCACGGTATGACTCTATAAAACCAATATAGTTTTCAACAACAGGGTTCTTATCTTTAACCCATAGCCTGAAGGCATCTTTGTGAGTGGCTACTGAGCCAGTAGTGAAGTTTTCAGCAAACTGATGCCACATTTCTGATTCGATTTGTTTAAGCGAATGTGCTTTGAAATCTATACAGCAATCGACCAGTAACTTCATCAGCTCACTATAGTCACCATATTCAAGCTGCAAAGATGTGTCCGAGGGAAGGGAATCTCTTAACTTCTCACGACGTTGACTTAGAGGGATTTGCAGGTCATGGTAACGTTGGGCTAACTGTCTTTGTTCTTCTTGGATAATAGGAGCGTCGAAATGACTTTCTGCAGCAAGCGTATCAGCCTGGACTTTGAATGCATCTATACGTTCACGATGAGTAGCTACATCAGATTCAAGCAAGTTGTGCCACTTTTGTACGTTCATCACACCGTTTAGATCACGACCGACATCCTCTGAGGTTATCTGAGCTTCAACATCATTCAACCATAACTGGACATCTTCTATGTTGCGAGCGAACTGTTGTTGCCTACTTGCTTGATCTCAATTTCTCTTCTTGTCTCCCATGGCATTTACGAGATGAGACCAAGTTTCATCCAACTGTTCAATCTTTACTTTTATTTCCGGCGAGTTGTAGTGGTTTGCATTTAACAAATCCTGACCTGTCTTTTTAATATCTTCAACGCGGGATTGGTTCGCTTGTATTTCTGCCTCAAAACTCTGATGCTTCTGCACCTTTGTTTGCAAATTCGTGGAGTCTTTGTAACTTTCATCAAGTGCATTTCTAAGTTTTCCTGATATCCATGACTGCATTTCATCTGCATATCTATCGGACATTTGGTAACGGTGGGAATCTTCAAGACGCTGACGGCGGTTCTGAGCTTTCTCCTTTAATGCACTTCGTCTATTTTGAAGACCTTCCTGAATCTCATCAACCTGTGCGGCCGCATAGTGGTTTGATTCGATTAATTTTGCAGCGAATTCATCAAGTTGTCGCATCTTTTCTTCTTGTGCTAAAAGTGACTTTTCGAAGTCTTCATGTTGCCTTATGAGTGCTTCGACAGAATCAAGTGAGTCTCCCACATCTTTTATTCCTCTTGCTTACCAAACCAAGATTCCGACTGTTCAGCGTCGCGGTATAAATACTGAAGGCCCATACACTGTTCTAGCTGCTCAGGTCTTTCCTCACACAACTGCATCAGGGAGGCTCTCTCTCTTTCAAGGGTGGAAAGTTTAGCAGCTATGTCTCCACTACAGGGATGGCCAACTCTTTGTAATTCCTGACCTTCTTGCATGCATGTATCGAAACTGTCAGCTCGAGAATTTATCTCAGCGGTGTATTCCTTATGTCGCTCTACTTGGGCTTCAGCACCAGCTACATCCTTTGCCAAATCATCCACCGATATTAACGTCTTCATGTCATTCATCCGGATACTCAAGTCTCTCCAGTCAGCCAAAAAGCGATGCATCTTGAATGACTCTTCCAGTTTACCTTTCCTATCTACAGCCTGACTTTCCAGCTTATCCCATGCAGTAATTAATTCGTCATACTTGCCTTGTATAGTGTCTTGCGAATCGGGATGCTTCTGTGCAAGCGCCTTAGCATCATCTCCAAGTTGAACAATCCTTTTATCTGGGGCAGTCAAATCCCTTTCTAATGCTTCGTGCTTCCTTTGTAAGGCTTGGACTGAGGCAAGATCACGACCACAGTCCTCAATGGATAAAGGAATGGACTTTTCATTCACCCACCATATAGCTCTATCTATGTCTCTAAAGAAGCACTGTATCTCATAGGCTTCCAGGAGCTTTTCTTGTCGTTTTCTAGCCAGATCCTTCAGACGTTCTAGAGCTTCACGGACCTCTCTGGGTTTTTCTATGACTAGGGCGTCCTCAGGAAATTCCTCTTTTAGAAATTCATCCGCCTTCCGATAGATATCTTCGGCACGACTTTCTTGATACTCGAGATCCATTATAAACTCATCAAACTTTTTTTGAAGTGTCTCAACATGTTCCAGGTCTTGACCGAAATCCTCTGATGTTACGTAAGTTTCTTTTTCACGTATCCAGAAAAGTATCTCGTCGACTTGGCGTAAAAACTGGACAAATTTAAGCGTTAGGTTAATAAGACGTGATCTTTCTGTGAAAATAGCCATAAGCCTTTCCCACAGGGCATGCAATTCATCAAGACGGTTTTTGATAATATCTGTTGCGTGGTACCCCTGACCAATCATTTCTTCTCCCGCAGAATCCATAGCTGACAGTGTTTCAGCATGAACTGTTACTTCTAACTCAAACTCTTGGTGTTTCTGTTTTTTCAGCTGAAGATTACTGAGCTCTTTAAAATCCTCGTTTGCATAGGTTTGCAGTTTTTCATTGATCCAACACTCAAGTTCATCGGCATCCATCTTAAAACATTGACATCTTTTAAGCATGTCCAGAAACTTAGATATGGTTCTGGCGAACTCATCATTAGGAGATACAGAGACTTTATGAGATGTAGAAGGTTTGTAAGGCGATTTATTGTGACCAGAACATTCGCGACTACCTTGTCGTAATCTTTCTAATTCCATTTCTTTCTCTTTTTGAACTATGCGCAATTTCGCTAGCTCCAATTCTATCATATGGCGTGATTTATTCTCGTTGCTTCCAGGGAAATCAGCTTCATTACTCTTTTCTAACTGTGGAGTTAACGACGGCATAGTTTCATAACTTTCGTCTGCCATACTGTTCGAAACTTTGTAGGATTATTTTGGCCTATAGATTTAGTCCTTCCTCAATACTGACGACACAGAGTCTGGGCTTAACTATAGTTAAAACAGAATGACTTGACTTTAACTTTATCTGTTTCTAAAACATAAAATAAATCATACAATTACACCAAGAAAAATGTACAAATCCACTGTCATTACAAAAAAAGGATAAAAACGTACCGAACAGTATTGAGGGTACGGACAAAATGAACAGTCAATTAATTACATGTATACACAAATAGAGTGACAGACAAAAAAGAACATTCAAGGTCATCACGTGGTGAGAGTAACAATAAATCGACCAATAATCGCGACAAGAAGGTCACATCATATTGAATAACTGTCTATCATATAGTCTATCTATCTACCGCAATTATCATAGGATACATCACTTATACCGTAGCAACACTTTAAGACCCAACCTTACAACAATTCTAAACAAAATCTAACATACACATCAATAATGACCTTTTATGGTAAATGAATATTTTATCTACTTGAAGTGAACACAGAATGCACTGAAATAACCCTGGTTGTTCTTAGAAAGGAGCAGTGGACGCTGAATCTTGACTAGGAGAGCTGAAATAAGTCTGATAAGTTACTTCTGAATATGCGGAGAAGAAGAGTAGGGTGCTGAATCGGTGCCAGTTATGCTGACAAATCAGCACACAGTTCCATTTTGGGCAAGTAATCAAACAATTGCAGAACAGTTTCAGAGTTTACTCACAATAGAATGTTAGAGTCAGCAAGATATAATTCAGCATTATAGTAAGCTTAAGAGACTGCAATTAAATTTCATTCTGGGCTATGAACACCTTACTTTCTTAGCATAGTATACGCGAATTAGCTCAATGATTGAAGGTTTACCATAATCGCTAACTATCAACTTGATAACTGTGAACCTGAGACTGGAAATAAGCTTTCTAGTAGCATCCATTGACGGAAATCCATTCCGACACGTTAAAATATGCAAAACGTCCAAAAAAGCCTTTGAATGTCAATGTCGAACGAATTGAGGAAAACACATAACCACTCGTCGCAGGAAACCATCATGACCTTGAATCTGGATATACTGTTTTCCTAGTGCTGCAGTCAAGCCCACCTGTCACTCAATTACATGTATACACAAATAGAGTGACAGACCAAAAAGAACATTCAAGGTCATCACGTGGCGAGAGTAACAATAAATCGACCAATAATCGCGACAAGAAGGTCACATCATATTGATTAACTGTCTATCACATAGTCTATCTATCTGTCGCGATTAACAGCCATCTTTACACACTTCATCAACAAATGCTTTGTCGGTGTTTTCTGTCTACTAGGTGGTGAAGATGTAGCAGTCGGATTGTCAGCACCAGTTTGGTACAATTCATTGTACATTGTACGACCGTTGAATTTGTTTAGCCGAGGCATCGCGGGCAATCATCTGCGAGCTGCGCACATTCTCGATTCGATGGAGAGAAGCAGATTGTATAAGAATAGAGATAAGAGCAGCGAGGTAACATGAGTTGAACATAGTAATCAGCATGGTGTCAGGAACTTCGAAGACGACGTGCTGATCAGTCGGTAGAACTTCGCAAAGCCAAGAAAGATGAACAACTTCAGAAGCGCCGCAACATCCTCACAGCTGAGCTTGATGAAACCACGCCGTTGAGAGAAAAACAGGTTGATACTTCTAAGCCTGGTTCCTACGACGATGTTGTTCGAGATATGCAGTCAAACGATGAATCCGTGAGGACTAAGGCAGTCCGTCTCTGCAGAAAATCTCTGTCAGTGACGAAAGATCCTCCAATTGAAGAATTTTGCAAGAGAGGAGTTATCAGTATTCTCATTTCAATGTTGAGTTCTACGAAGTGAGTTTCGCTGATTTGGTCTAATAAAACAGTGATGATCTTGTTTTTGAGGCAGCCTGGGCACTGACGAATATTGCCTCTGGAGATAGTCGACACACGCATTCTGTGGTTGACTCTGGCGCAGTTCCGGAGTTAATACGACTTCTTGGTCATCCTGCCACCTGTGTAGCAGAGCAAAGTGTGTGGGCGCTTGGAAATATTGCGGGTGATGGGGCGGTGCTCAGAGATCTTACCATAAAATGTGGTGTTTTGGATCCAGTTGTGAAGTATGTTGTCTCCTAGTGACTTAACATTGGTAGACTTTTAGATCGTACTTGGAATCTGCCGGGAGTGGTTGCAAACATCACTTGGATGCTGTCTAATCTGTGTCGTTATCGTGACCCGCCTCCTGCGCGTGAGGTGCTGAAGACATTGCTCCCAGTGTTCAGTCGACTTCTTCGCTACGAAGGTAACGAGGACGTGATTGGGGACAGCGCGTGGGCGTTGTCATACTCAAGCGATGCAGTGAATGATTTCACTGATGACATTATTGAAAGCGGATGTGCCCCACGCCTCCTTCGGATCTTGGCATCTACTTCGGTAGGTGTATGGTCACCTAATTATCTCTTTATTTAGGTGAAAACTGTTTCTCCTGCACTCAGAACGGTTGGCAATCTTGTAGCTGGGAGTGATGCGCAGACACAAGCTGTTCTTGATGCTGGTTTGTTAGATTACATTCCAGCCTTGTTAAGTAACGAGAAGTCTACCGTTGTCAAAGAGGCATGCTGGCTTGTTAGTAATATAGCAGCAGGTAACGTGCACCAGGTAGACATGGTAATCAAACATGGCGTATTACCATGCGTCCTAGAAATACTTCACAAGGTAAGTTGTCCACCAGAGCGTTAGTTGTGTTACTATTGCCATTTGACAAATGGTTGTTAGCTTTTGTATGTATATGGATTGTATGTGCAGACGTGAGGAGAACTCATTCCACTTATCAGGTGGGTGCACAGCATGAGTCGGAATAAGTAGCTGACATTTAAACTGATAGCTGCTTGTGAGTTCATCAGTTCAAATTGTCGAACTGTGTAACCTGCGGAAGTGAATGATTTCGTAGGTTGATTCTGTGATTTGACCTAAGTACTGATAATATTTCTCTGATGCAGCGAATATTGTCCAAGGAGAACAGTGTTGATTCACTGTGCGTCACACGTGACAATTATCAGAGCTGGTGAACACCTACAATGCTCAGATATGCGTGACTCATTCTGTTGTTCTATTGTCAGGTTGAAATTCCAACAAAGATATTGACAGCTAACGGCTAACTTAGTCCACAGATTATCACTAAGTACAGAGACAAATTTAGTCAACGTAATTTGAGTTAGCACAGAAAATGACATGATTGGACGATAGAAGTCAATTGTGAGTAGGCAAAACTTGGAGGTGTTGTGATCGTCTTCACGTTGTTAACAATTAGAGCTAATATCCTGAACAAAATGGAAGTGCTGATGTGACGTGAAGTTGGTCATACACTATTTAAAGTGGAGTACTGCTTTAAAGGTAGGAAATGAGTAAGTGTTACTGCAGTACTAGGCATGAATGGTACTTATCCGTATATTTCAATTGTTGTGAATTGTTGCAGGGTTGTATCATGGCTTGGTTGTCAAGTACATTAATTAATTTCATTAGCTATATGAGTAGTGAAAGGTCACCACCATCGGGTAAAAATAGTCAAACGTGTTAAACAAGCCTCAACAGAAGCACCTGAGGAATTAAAAGTCTATACCAGCATTACGCCTGTGACATGTATTGTCTTTTGTTTTCTAGGGTGAATACAAAGCACAGAAAGAAGCCTGTTGGGTCATCAGTAATATAATAACCGGCGGGACAACGGAACAATGCGCCTACCTACTGAATCTCCCTATCTTCAAGGCTTTGAAGAATCTCCTTTCAGTTTCAGATGCTAAAGTCATCCTCATGACTCTGGAAATCATCACGAAGCTCCTTGAGGTAAGCCGAACTTCTTTTACTCCATGAATGATTGGAGTATTGTTGCTGTGTTGGAAGGTGAACCGGTTAGTTGTGTTGTAGTGTAGGATTATAATTTGTGTCTGTGTAACGGGAGGATCGGTCCCATGAGCAGCTGATGTTCAGGTGAAAAAATATGTTGGCCTGACTCATGGCTTCAATGGTGTTTAACACACCAGCATTGAGGCGAGTCCACTCTAAGCGCCAGGCAAACAGTATATATTTACCTGGGAATTTTATATTGTGTCGCGGGTGAATAAATTGTTCAACGTGTGAGGCGACTTTGCACTGTAGCTAAACCAAGTGTGAAGATTGCTAGAGACGCGTATGCTTTCGTGGCGACCTGGGTGTTTTCGTCAGACTATGACTACCGAGGCAGGAAGGTATCAGTGTGACTTGTTAAGGAGATGGCATGCTCTAACACATGTGGTGTTGTGATGAAAGTTTATTCGTTGACTAAGTGGAGGAGATTATTTCTGTTTACTTTGCATTCTGAAGATTTTGTACTGAAAAGTCTGTCTTATTTTCTACATCCAAGGTCTCTGATCAATACGGCCAGTTGGAACCTGCGTGTATCGAGCTGGAGACATGTGGAGGTCTAGACAAGTTGGAGGCCTTACAAGATCACTGTAACCAGCAGGTGTACCAGGCTGCGTATAACTTAATTGAGAAGTACTTCAATGATGGGGTGAGTGATTGTTTGACCGGAAGTTTGAGCAGATTGTGATGTAACTCCACTATGGATAAGATTTTATGTTGATGAATCCATAATGGAGTTGTACTCTGCCACAGTGCCCAGATTTTATACTTACATCAGGTTGTGATATGTTGCTCTCTCAGAGTTGTGTCATGTACACTCTGCATTCGAGAATGTTTGATTTGGTCTGTATAGTTTTTCATTAGCGATTGGATCATTTGAATCAAGCATTGCCTCAGTCACTTGCATCTTATGTGCATTACGTGCATGATTTGAGTGAAATGAAGTCTCATGGTGTAGGATTGAGGAGACTTCGCTAAAAATCATCAATGCGTTGCTTGGCTCAGAATTCAGTGTTCTGGAAACTGCTGCTCTAAACAGAAAGTAAACAGGTGTGGTATGTAGTCGATTCTGAGTACCGATGTTCGTTCTGAGAGGACAGTGTATAGCGAGGAGATGTATCACTTTGGATAGTGAGACGATTTCTCCAGTTGTGAAATTTCAATGAAATAGCATACCTTCAGTTTTACGATGCACGAATCAGTGGGAATGAAAGACTAGCCTTTGTACATTAGGTGGAAGAGATCTTCAGATGTTAGGATTATGCTGATGACGGTGACGTCAATGACTTTTGAGACAGTGGCCACAGTGAAGTGAGCAGTGAGAGACTGGCCTGGCTTGCATCAGTTGTCTTGCAAAATGAAGGACTATTTCCCAGTTGATTGTTGTTGTCAGTCGAATTGGGAATGTTTTGTCGAAGTAACGTCTCAGATAAGATTTTATTTTGATAAATCACACAGTGTAGTACAGTTATATTATGGAATTATACTCTACCACAGTGCCCAAGTTTTATACTTATATCAGTAACGTCTCAGATGATATATGAGTGTGACTTGTTGTCCACTGATTGCCCTTCGTTCCTTGTCATTGGTAATATGACATTAGTAAGGCACAGTAAAGTGATGAGTAGTTTGATTATCGTGTATTCTGCAACGTTGTGTACGTAGAGTAACTTTTGTTTGTTTGTTTGTTATTCACTATTCTGCAGGATGACGATGAGAAGCAGGACGAGAATGTTCTCCCTGATGGTACATGCAGCACCGAAGTGGCAGCCAACTCAGAGCAAGAATTCCGGTTTATTGCACCTGATTCCACTTTGGGAAAAGATGGTGACTTTCAGTTTTGATAGATATTGCGTTGCTATTACTAACTACGCATCTACCTATTAATTCCTATGTAGATAGATAATTGACGATATTAACCTTCAGATTGAGAAGTGACAGTTTTGCAATGCTTTTACTTTTGAAATGATTTTGTATATAGAATAATAAATATTTTTGTTACTGATGTGTTCGTGTGTTTAAACCGGAATAAGGCGTTGAGTGACTGACTGACTGGAGAACATGAATGTGTCCCTATGTGGGCTGTTGCTATCTCGCCTGTCTCTTCTACCACGTATTTACTTTCCGTCTGTGAATCTTTGTTTGTGCGACATTCGACGTACATCGTGCGTGAATTCAAGATCGAGATTCCTCTCAGTAGTCAGAAATGTGGCACGTCTTACTCCTCTTCCCGTTCTGGGGTGTCATCGGTGATAGGGAAAATCTATGTAGTTCCATTATGGGTAAATTTTTATTTTGATAGAGTCTCACAGTGTTATACAGTAATATTTACTGATGACGTTTCGAGCACAAACTATTGCTCATAATCATATCAAGTTACTCACACAACTTCTTTCCTTCATTTATATACATGTGTGGAATCGACTAGATATTGGATTAAAATTCAATATGAGATAATGTACATTCAGAAATAATAGTACGAGTGTTATTAATCCATTGCAATTAGATGGGAAATACGACGAGTGTTTTTTTAGTCATAATAAGTTGATTGTTAGAATGTGTTTGAATGGAAATAGATTATTTATTATCCTCTTCTGATTTGACTGGTGGCAATAATACGAGTGTTATTAATCCATTGCAATTAGATGGGAAATACGACGAGTGTTTTTTACAGTCATAATAAGTTGATTGTTAGAATGTTATGATGTGCTTGAATGGAAATAGAATTTTAAGACAATTTATCATCTTCTTCTGATTTGACTGGCGGCAATAATATCTTCCATATTTCTGGTATTTGCATTGAGTCACTTCTGTTGCATGTGTTGGGTGTAGATTCGATGAACAAAGATTCAGTAATCAACCTCTCTCTCCACCTACCTAGATTACTTTTTAGAATTTTAACCCTCTCCCACCCTATTGTGTGGTTGTGTGTTAATGCATGCAGTGCGATTGCCGAGCTTTTTTCTAAATTACTTATCTTCTCTGGGTCAACCATTCTTACCTTAGCTAAATTCTTATGTTCTGACAATCTGACTACCCCTGACCTACTAGTTTGACCTATGTAGTTGACCTCACAGTCATTGCAGGGTATTTTGTAAATTATATTATTTTGTCTAATTGGGTCCACTGGGTCCTTTAACCTACAGAGCTTGTCCCTGAGTGAGTTTGTAGGTTTAAATGCCACCCTAATTCCTGCTTTATTTAGAATCCTACGTAGGGTCTCAGATGTCCCTTCTTTATATGGTATAACTGTAGATGACTTATATTCTCTCTTATTTATTTTATTACTACTAGTTTCACAATTCTTTTTATTTTTCTTTTGGCTTTTTTCAATCTTCCTAATGAATTTTAGAGGATAGTTATTTAAAACCAACGCCTCTTCTATATGTTTTATTTCATCATTAAGGTCTTTTTTTGTGCTACTTAGTGCCATTGCTCGGTTTGTTAAACATTTAACTAAGCCTGCCTTAACAGTTACAGGATGAGACTCACACGACTTTGTCAAACTGAAGCAAGATTCACAAATCATCGGATTTTTAACAGTCGATGTTTAAAAAATCATATCATTCCGAAATATTTACGTCTACGTACTCCAATTACTTCAAATAAAATAACATCAGCTGCCGAAAACGTCAGTAGATTATGTCTAAGAGAAGAATTACATCGAGTTACTGTGAAACTAAATAATATACGAAATGAAATTGAAAAACTCAAACACAAACTCAAAGATATGATCAATGACAAAGATTATACAATTATTCTTGAAACATCCAAAAAAGCTAGAGAATCTGCATTAAGAAAATCAAAAAACACACAAATCAAAAAATTCAACAAACTTATTGAAGAAAGGAACACAGCAAATGAAATTGATGTCAATGCTTCATCCTCTATCGACAAAACAAAGTGGGTGATCAACCTCTCATCAAGGGAACTAAGCTCCAGTGAGATAAAAGTATTGGAAAAAGGACTAAATTTCAACGTAACAGTTAATAAACTAAAGCCAGAAGATGTCATTCCTAACATAGAAGTAGCACTAGGTTCAATAGATAAAACAACAGCAGAAGAGGTTAGAGCACACTGTGCATTAACCCTAAAAAATCAAAAGAAGGCAAAATCAAACTTGACAAAATCGGAAAGAGAAGCTTTAATTAATCTAAAACAGGATAAAAATATTGTCGTCGCAAAAGCTGACAAAGGAAACGCCACCGTAGTTTTGAATAAATCTGACTACATCAAGAAGGTCACTGAACATATTGAAATGGGTCCATATGAGGAAATCAAGAAGCCCGTAGATACAATAATGAATAAGGTTAAAAAATCCACAGCGGAATTAGTACGCAGAATGAAGCCGTCACTGGGTGAGTCAAAATGGTTTAATTTAATGCCTAAAACTAATAATGCTAGTAGGATGTATGGTACTATTAAAATACATAAGCCAGGTTATCCCATAAGACCAATAGTAGATTTTAGAAATACCCCTACATATGAATTATCAAAACATTTAGCTTTAATATTATGCCCCATTAGAGATCGTTCAAATTCTAGACTAACTAACTCATATGAGATGAAAAATAAACTAAATGACATACAACTAGATAATGATGAAACAATGGTTAGTTTTGATATAACCAGTCTTTACACTAATATACCAGTCAATATGGCCTTAGAAGCAGTTAGAAAAGAACTAACTGCGGATACTGAACTCAATCATAGGACAAAGCTGTCCATTGAGGAAATTATTTTAGGGATTCAGCTATGCCTCACATCTACTATATTTAAATTCCAAGGCAAAATATATAGACAAACTGAAGGTGTAGCAATGGGATCACCAATATCCCCTATCGTGGCAGATATATTTATGGATAGCTGGGAAAATATGGCACTTAATACATTTAATCCTACTCCAAAAATATGGTGGAGATATGTGGATGACACTTTCACAGTGTTAAAAACAGAACATATCTCTAGCTTCTTGACACACATAAACTCACTAGTGGAGGGAATAAAATTCACATTTGAAACCGAAAATGAGCAAGGAGAATTAGCTATGTTAGATTGTAAAATAAAACGAATAGAAGAAGGCAAACTACAAACTAGTGTTTATAGAAAACCAACGCATTCTAATAGATATTTAGACTTTAATTCATCTCATCCTGTAACTGTTAAGGCAGGCTTAGTTAAATGTTTAACAAACCGAGCAATGGCACTAAGTAGCACAAAAAAAGACCTTAATGATGAAATAAAACATATAGAAGAGGCGTTGGTTTTAAATAACTATCCTCTAAAATTCATTAGGAAGATTGAAAAAAGCCAAAAGAAAAATAAAAAGAATTGTGAAACTAGTAGTAATAAAATAAATAAGAGAGAATATAAGTCATCTACAGTTATACCATATAAAGAAGGGACATCTGAGACCCTACGTAGGATTCTAAATAAAGCAGGAATTAGGGTGGCATTTAAACCTACAAACTCACTCAGGGACAAGCTCTGTAGGTTAAAGGACCCAGTGGACCCAATTAGACAAAATAATATAATTTACAAAATACCCTGCAATGACTGTGAGGTCAACTACATAGGTCAAACTAGTAGGTCAGGGGTAGTCAGATTGGCAGAACATAAGAATTTAGCTAAGGTAAGAATGGTTGACCCAGAGAAGATAAGTAATTTAGAAAAAAGCTCGGCAATCGCACTGCATGCATTAACACACAACCACACAATAGGGTGGGAGAGGGTTAAAATTCTAAAAAGTAATCTAGGTAGGTGGAAAGAGAGGTTGATTACTGAATCTTTGTTCATCGAATCTACACCCAACACATGCAACAGAAGTGACTCAATGCAAATACCAGAAATATGGAAGATATTATTGCCGCCAGTCAAATCAGAAGAAGATGATAAATTGTCTTAAAATTCTATTTCCATTCAAGCACATCATAACATTCTAACAATCAACTTATTATGACTGTAAAAAACACTCGTCGTATTTCCCATCTAATTGCAATGGATTAATAACACTCTTATTATTGCCACCAGTCAAATCAGAAGAGAATAATAAATAATCTATTTCCATTCAAACACATTCTAACAGTCAACTTATTATGACTATAAAAACACTCGTCGTATTTCCCATCTAATTGCAATGGATTAATAACACTCGTACTATTATTTCTGAATGTACATTATCTCATATTGAATTTTAATCCAATATCTAGTCGATTCCACACATGTATATAAATGAAGGAAAGAAGTTGTGTGAGTAACTTGATATGATTATGAGCAATAGTTTGTGCTCGAAACGTCATCAGTAAATATTACTGTATAACACTGTGAGACTCTATCAAAATAAAAATTTACCCATTATGGAATTACACTCTACCACAGTGCCCAAGTTTTATTCTTATATCAAAATCTATGTAGACAGATTTTGGTTGGCTACTTGTTCCTCGATTGATCTAAAATGCATCTTAAAGCGGTCAGCTTTTTATCTTCGCACGGATAGTTATAGGCAGTCGAATTGAAGACGTTCGATGTTATAATGCCGTGTGAGTATAGTGAGATGGGTCACATATTCTATGGTAAATCGAGATGTCTGAGGACTTTTAGTAGGTGAATATAGTTAACAGTAATTTTTATACATTTATGTTAATTCGCAAAATAGGATATATACATTTTTGTTTACTAGGTGAATATAATTGAAATACAATTCACTAGGTCACGATTAGTATACAAGCACTGAAATACATACTATTATTCATGTACTTGAAATCATGGTGTTGTGTTTGTTAAGCATTTTTAAAGGCATTTCATGATGTTGCAAAATACTCCTACTGCCTCCACTTCACGAAAT